TTTAAAAAGTATATTCTGACTTCTGGTTTAAATATATAGAGAGTAAAGTTAGCCTTTTTTTTTTCTTTTCATCTCCGTCTTCACCCAGAGGCTACAAGGAGAAAAGGAAGGACTTTGTATCTGACAAAATTAGGAAATAGCTGAAAACAGATGAGAGGGCTGTCAGAGGCAGAGGAAATCAAGCACCAGTGCAAGGAGATTTCAAAGGCTATAGAGGAGTGGTCAAGGCTGCAGATGTGAGATAGCACTAGTAAGGACTCTTAGCCAAGTGTTAGGCTATACCCTGAGTGCCAGACCATATAGATACATAACAGTGGTAACAGAGTATGGGCAGGTGGGACGTTTCCTCGACCCATATGGAAGTCTCAGGAGAGACAGGCAGGGGCCTCAACAAGGAAGTGCTCAGACAAGCCATATTTGCAGAAAGTAGTCTATACTTGTGAGAGGAGCAGTTGGTAGGGGTTGGGGAAAGAGAACGGAGTGTTCTTGTGAAGAACCCAACAGCTGCCCCTATTTACTGACTCGGGAGAAGTCTGAAAGAACTACCAAATGGAAAAAAAAATCCAGTTGGAAAGCTCTGATCTGCCTAGAACATGGCCCCATTTCTTCCCCTACATGAACTTCCAGCAAACAGCAAGTCCAGGAAAACTTACTCAAGGAGGAATGATTCCAAAGAATCAAAACCAAAAACACACATGGCTTTTGAGCCAGCAGTTCCAATTCTAGGACTGTATATACTCTTGAATGTACCAGAAGACGGACATACAGGGGTATTCAGTGATGTACTGTTTGTGAAAACAAAAGGTTGGAAGCTTTCCACATGGCTCCTGAAATCCTGGAATGTTCATACAGCAACCTTTCAGGTAGACAAAAAACAAGAATATATAAAGAAAACTTGGACACCATTTGTTTAGTGATGTGGGATGATATCCAACATACATTATTGGGTGAGAAAAGCAAGGTGCAGGATAGTGAGAATACTATGCTGCCATTTGTATATAAACAGGAGAATAAATGATAAATACATAATTGAGTGTATATGCATAAACTATCTCTGGAAAGATACACAAGAAACTGGGAACCCTGATTACCTCTGGGAAAGGGATGGGGAAGTGGGTGGCTGGAGGGAAAGAATTGGGAGTGAGAGAACTTTTGAAAATTGTACTATGTGGATGTACTACCTTCTCAAAAAATAACTTTTAAACAACACGTTTTGTTCTGTTACTGTTCAAAGGAAGTCAGGTTCCAGATACAGGATTTCATAATATTTAAATATAGATATTCTTAAGGTGGAGCTTAGGGCTTCCCAGGTGGCTCAATGATAAACAATCTACCTGTCAATGCAGGAGATACAGGTTTGATCCCTGGGTTGGGAAGATCCCCTGGAGTAGGAAATGGCAACCCACTCCAGTATTCTTGCCTGGAAATTCCCACGGACAGAGGAACCTGATGGGCTGCAGTCCCTGGGGTTGCAAAGAGTTGGACACAACTGAGCATGCACATACAAAACAGACTCACAGACATAGAGAACAGACTTGGGATTGCCAAGGAGAAGAGGGAAAGAGGAGGGATGGACTGGGAGTTTGGGGTTAGTAGATGCAAACTATTACATTTAGCATGGATAAACAAGGTCCAACTTTATAGCACAGGGAACTATATTCACTATCCTGTAATAAACCACGACTGAAAAGAATATGAAAAAGAATATATACATGTATGTATAACTGAATCACTTAGCTATGCAGAAATGAACACAATATTGTAAATCAATTATACTTCAATAAAATTAAAAAACAAAAGAAACTTTTCATCCTCCTCCTGATAGAAAAATATTCCTGGGGTTTCTGGCCCATCAAAGGTCACCCTTAAGTGGGATGGGGAGGGGTGGTCAGGTCTTGCCACTCCAGGTTGATTTTTTACTCCTGCTTCCTGGAGCCCAGGTGGCAATCTGATGTGATGGGTCATGTAGCTAATCAGAGGTGAGTGAGGCAGGGACCTAGAGGCAAAAGAGGGGATGAACAGCAGAATGTGGATAAATGGAATGGAGTCAGGGGAGAGACAATGAAGGGCTGAGTATGGGAATGGGTCGATGAGGGACAGTGGGGGTGAATAGGAAAGGGCAGAGAGAAATGGAAGTATCCAATAGAGTGAGTTCCTGGAGAACAAACAGCTGAATGTAAGCAGTGCCAAGGAGAATGGGAGTGAGTAGTTTGAGCAGACAGGGTGGATATTGGAAATGTGGACCAAGTGGAGTAAATTGGAAACAATATGAGGCACAGTGGGAATGACAGTGGTGAATGGGGCAGAGTGAAAAGCAGTCAGGCTCATGGCAAAATGGGGCAGAGTGTTTAGTAAGCGCATAGAGGAAGAGTGTGGGTGGGCAACGTGTGGCAGACCACCAGACCAGGCGAGTGCCAGGTGCTATGTGTGGTGAGTGAGGGGGATCTGTGGAGTTGGGCTGTAGGGTCTCAGTCTCACTGATGCAGAAGTGTTGATGAGAACTGAGGGGAAGAAGTGGGAGGTGGTCTCAGGAGCTTCCCCAGGTCCCCCATTGGTGACCACAGGTATATGGGATGGGAGCAGCCTATGATCAGGACACACAGCTCAACGAAGAGTTCCTCCATGTCAACAACATGCAGAGAGGGCAAGGCCCTCTGACAAGTATATCCCTGACACATCCCCTAAATCGACTTGATATTCACATTCCTATATTTCAGTAACTCTTGTTTCTTCCATAGTAGATTTCATTTATTCTTTTTAATGCATCCTACAAGCTATTAACTTACTTGCTGACTATATTTAACACATCTTAGGAATTCTGCCTGTGTCTCAAAAGCTGCTTGCTTACTCATCACCTGTACTTCACACATCTGCTCATATTTCAAGCTCCTAGCGTACTTACTACCTATGCTTAACACTTCTTAGGAGCTTCCTCCATTACACTTGTTTTCTTGTCCTTCAGAAGTGATGAAGCAATAGAGACCATCAAATTCTTGGAGAAGATTAATTGAGAAACCCTGGACTGATCAAGGGAGGAAAAAAAAGGAAAACACAAGTTTTCAAATCAGAATGATAGAGCGGATATCACTACAGATTTAATTAATATAAACATCAAGGAATTACGAAAAATCTCTGACAGTAAAGTTGATAATTTAATGTAATTAATAAAGGAGAAAAATATAATGACCACTATAGATCTAGAGAAAGGATCTCATAACACTCAACACCCTTTCCAAATATAAATTAACAAACTAGGGCTAGAGAGAACTTCCTTCAGTCTGATAAGGGCTGCATTAAAAGAAACCGCAAAGACTTAATGGTGATATGGTCAAAACTTGTCTTGAGACAAGATATCTGCTATGCCCACTCCTATTCAACAATGTACTGGAGGCCTTAGGCAGTGAAATACAGCAAGAAAAAGGAGTAATGGCTGGAAGGGAATAAATAAAACTCAGTGTCTGCAGATGACATGTACACACAGAAAATCCCAAAGGACCTACAGATGCGTTCTGAATAAGTGAATTTAGCAAACTTGCTAATATAAGCTGAAATTACAGAAAGTGTTTATCTTTGTCCTGGCAGCAAACAACTAGAAAATTGACACCACAGTTTCAATTTTGGGGAACAGAGAGAAGCAACGGGGCCATATAATGGAAGTCCTTGAAAGTTTAAATTTGGATGGGGTGGAATCTGACTAAAACACAGGGAGAAAACACCTTGAGGTTTCTCACAAGGGTGAGAGAAGTAGAAGAAATGAAAGTCACAAAGGTAAGGACAGCTCTTTAAGTGTCTGTGTAAGGAAAGGAATTGATGACAACGAGAGAGAGAGAAAGTGAAAAGGCCAGGGAAGGGGAGAATGATGGAGAAAAGTTCCTTTCAGCTGGAGGAGGCAGGGATAACATCCTGAGGGCACGGCAGGCAGGTAGTGTTCTTTTCTCTTTTTATATGTTGATTTTATGTTCTTTTTAAAATTGTGGCTGCACTGGCTCTTTGTTGCAGCACATGTGCTCCAACTATGCCCTCCATCGTTGCGGCATGAAGGCTTAGTTGCCCCACAGCATAAGAGATCTTAATTCCCCAACCAGGGATTGAACCTGAGTCCCTGCATTGGAAGATGGACTCTTAACCACTGGACCACTAGGGAAGTCCCAGGGTTCTTTCTCAAAGCTAAGCAAAGAGTAGGGGAAGATGCGTAGAGAGGCCGTTTAATCTAAGGCACTCCTATCCATGTCCTTTGAGGAATACTGTTGGCATGTCTGTGGCATGTCAAAGGAACCTCTTCCTCACTAGCTAGAATCTTCCATCCACCATCCGTTATCCCCAATCTTTCTAGGTCTCATTCACCTGTGCAATTTTAGATTTTTCTCTGTGTTCTTCGTTCCCAAACATGAAGATTACGTCTGGTTTGGTAACTTGATACCTTGATAGGAGGACATGATTCAGGATTTAAGGTACCTGCTTGGGCTTGGGGCCCTCTGAAGACTGAGGAAGGGGCAGTTTCAGTGACTACACAACAAAGCTGCTCAATTTTATCCTGGCAAAGGCTGCCCATTTCCCTTGAAAGGTGAGAAAACAAATACCTACTCCAGGGACCTACAGCAACCTGGTCTCTGTAGGTAAGAATCGCTTCCTCGGGTAATTTTGCTATTTATGATTACTCTGTCCCACAGAATGCCTTTTTCTTTCTCAAGTTGGAAACTTGTTAGGCCTCTGAACTATAGAAGAGTCTGACATTAAATTCCAGGGATCAGAGTTCCTTTTCCCCCTCTGCTTTCCTGACAAGGTGTTTGGGAACTCAAAACCCAGGTGAGTTGGTTTGACTACCATTGTGTCAAGTGATACATCCCTTGTGCTGCCCCACACTCCACCTTCCTTTTTCTCAGAATCTCTGAAGACCAAGGAGGTATTGCTCTCATTTCTCATTAGCAGGGCATCATGTTACCAAACCAGATCTCATCCTCAAATTGGAGGTGGAAGAGCGATGCCTGCTAGAAGGAAAAATGCCAATTTGGAGCTTTCCAGGTAAGTGGCATTGACCCAGGCTATGGGGGCAGTGCAGGAGATCCCAGCTTGGCAGTCAGGGGTGAGGGCCTGTGAAATGACTTTCAGGAGTATCTCAGGGATGGTTTATGGAGGACAGGGATATCAACACCTAAGACTAACACCTTCTCCCCTGTTCTACACTCACCAGGCCACTCTCCGTAAGTTGGTGCTCACCCATAAGTTTCTGCACAGTCCCATTTCCCTGTGCGGGGAATAAGACACAGGTGTCTTATAAGTGCCAGCCCCCTGGCCCCAAGGCCTGCCTCTTCTGTTGTTCTCATTTCCCACTGCCCATCAGAAGCCAGGCCCACATTAGCCACAGGCCTAGGCACTAGTGGCCTAATTCTGGATTGGATTACCTGATTCTATCCAGTTTAGATATTCCTATCAGAGTTGGTCTCCTAAAGCATCTTGATTCTCTTTAAAAATATCTTTATTAAGATATAATACACATACAATATAATTCATGCTTTTGAAGTGAAACTCAAAAACTCAGTGATTTCTAGTATATTCACAGAATACTCTATCTAACCCCACTATCTACTTCTAGAACATTATTATCACCCCTAAAAGAAACTCCTGTCCCTTATCAGTCACTCTCCATCCCCCAGCCTCCATCCGCTGGCAAGCACTAATCTACTTTCTATCTCTCGTTTTGCCTATTCTGGATATTTCATATAAATAGAACCATACAAAATGTGGAATTTTATGTCCAGTTTCTTTCATTTGTATGTTTCAAGTTTCATTCATATTGTAGTATGTGTCATCCCTTTTTATGGTGGAATGATATTTCATTGTATGGATATTCCACATTTTATTTATCCATTCATCTGTTGATGGGCATTTAGGTTATTTTCACTTTTTCTGTATTAAATATAATGCTGTTATGAATATTCATGCAGAAGTTTTGAAATGTACATTTTCATTTTTTGTGAGTACATACATAGTGGAATTGCTAGACTATGTGATAACTGTTTAACATTTTGTGGAACTGCCAAACTCTGAACATCCTGTTCCTCAAAAATTTTTTACCCAGTGGTTTTAATGTTCATTGATGATTCCTCCCTGAATCAATTACAGTAAGTCCCCTACATATGAACAGGTTCCTTTCTGAGAGTGCATTTGTAAGTCCAATTTGTTCATAAGTCCAACAAAGTTAGCCTTGGTACCCAACTAACACAATCAGCTATATGGTACTACACTGACTTATGTGAGTGGACATGTGAACGCACATTTGCATCTTTTGTTTTTTTTTTTTTTTCATTTGCATCTTTTGAAAGTTTGAAACTTGAAGGTTCACATGTAGGGCACTTACTGTATTACTAAGATGGTTGGAAAAACTATGCATTTTCTATCATTCGTTCTACATTTGTTAAGTTGGCACTTTTAAGGACTTTTCCTTCTTTGTTGATTAGCTGGAATACTTCCATAGAGGGATTGCCCTCCATCTGTTAACAGTTGACCCTTGAACAACATGGGTTTGAAGCATGCAGGTCCACTTTTATGCCTTTTTCAATGTTAATAGTACCGTGCTAGACAATCTATGGTTGATTGAATCCACAGATATGGGACCACAGACTTGGAGGAGGAGCTGCCTATATGGAAGGCCAATAAGTTAGAGTTGAATTTTCAACTGTGCAGAGGGTCAGTGCCCCTAACCCCTGTGTTGTTCAAGGGTCAACTGTATTTGATTATATATGAGTTACATATATTTTTCTATTTATTTACCAGTTTTCAAAATGAGTTGGTTTTGTTGCATCATTCAAAGGTGCCTAATATGTCTTTTTTGAGTATCGTTTATGGACTTGTGGATTTAAACACTTTTATGTTTTGATCCATTGCCTTATCCTTATTATAAATCAAACCGCTCCATCTCTGGCCAGTGGATTCCCCTTTAAGTTGGGTCCCGAGTCTTTGGTAGTTTTCTTTTGTTACAAGATAGTCCAGGCTCATATTATGTATTCCCTGTACCTGCCCTGCAATCAGCCATTTCTCCAAGGAGCTTTGGTTCTTTTTAGTGGTAATGTTTCGTGACCACAGTTTGGACGGTAGGGAATTGTTTTCCAGGCTCTTTTAAAAATTGACATAGCTAGGAACTATGTAAAAGATCTTTTAAGAGAAAATGCATCATGTATTCAAATGTATATTTCCAAATCAAATTCTGGGCTTAAAATATTTTAATTTATTAATTTTACATCTGATGGTAGTATTGTTAATATTATTCTGAGACTGCAGAATGTGTACAGTGGGTTGATTCAATTGACTTAATCATGTTGGTGCCATTGAGAATCAAGAATTTTTAGCATGGTTGTTAGGAAATACAGAATGAGTTGATACTTATTACTATTAGGTAATCCTTTTATTTTCAGTTTTGCTTTATGATTATATAAAATATTTGTAAAATATTTACTTGATTCCAAAATAAAATCTAGAAAACAATGTATATTCTAAGAAATCCAGCCTCTTTCCCTTTCCATCCTACTCTTTCCTTTCCTTACCCATAGGTAACCATTTATTAATATTTAAAAGTTTATCCTACTGTTTTTTACAGTATGAGCCTATATTATTTTAAATATATACTTAATACTTATTTCCTCCATGGAAAAATGGTAGTCTACTGTGTATATTTTTATTCATCTTTTTTTCATTTAATTCAAGAACATGTTAAATATCCTGAGACAGCCCTTATTTCTTTTTATAGTATAATGATTCTTAATCATAATAGTAGTAGCTGTTATTATAGTAGTAGTTGTTCTAGTAAACATTTGAAGTGCTATACATGCCCTATTATAATTAATTTAATCCTATAGACATACATTTTGGTGGATACTGTTACAATTCCTGTTTTCCAGATGTGAAAGTAAGATATAAATAGATTAGCTAATATGCCTAAGGCCAAAGAACATGTAAAAGTCTGATCCAGGATTTGATCCTGGGCTAGAGAACTTACAGCCCTCACCACATGTGCTGTGTTGCTTCTTATCACCTAAGGAGGTCCAGATTCAGCAGATCCTTGGTGGAGCTTGGGTCCCATCAAATGTATTTTGTAAAAACTTTTCTTTATGATGTGCATGCCAAGTTAAGAACTAGTGCTTTACTATAGAAAGAAAGGAAGTCACAGGAAGAGAAGCCACAGCTGGATGATCCATTTTAAAATCCAGTATTAATCGGAAATGTTGCTGTTAAATCTAAGTGGTAGTATGAGTAGTTACTGTACTCTTCTTTCAACTCTTCTGTTATGTTTGAAATTTTTCGTATAAAATTTTAGGAATAGGTGAGAAGAAAATTAAACTCCAAAAAATAAAAATTCAATATATGTGCAAAAAGTATTTACTGACCAAGATACCATTGATTTTATTTTTTATTTTATTTTTTTTTGATACCATTGATTTTAAAACACACCACTGAGAAAGAAAATTTGCCACCAGTTAATGACATGTCATTGATTGTAAGGTGAATCTGGATTCAGTGGTATTAAAATGTGGAGTAATCAGCCATTAAAAAGAATTCATTTGAATCAGTTCTAATGAGATGGATGAAACTGGAGCCCATTATACAGAGTGAAGTAAGCCAGAAAGATAAAGACCATGACAGTATACTAACACATATATATGGAATTTAGAAAGATGGTAACGATAACCCTATATGCAAAACAGAAAAAGAGACTCCGATGTATAGAACAGACTTGTGGACTCTGGGAGAAGGCGAGGGTGGGATGTTTCAAGAGAACAGCATCGAAACACGTGTATTATCTAGGGTGAAACAGATCACCAGCCCAGGTTGGGTGCATGAGACAAGTGCTCGGGCCTGGTGCACTGGGAAGACCCAGAGGGATCGGGTGGAGAGGGAGGTGGGAGGGGGGACCGGGATGGGGAATACATGTAAATCCATGGCTAATTCATCTCAATGTATGACAAAAACCACTGCAATGATGTAAAGTAATTACCCTCCAACTAATAAAAATAAATGAAAAAAAAATTTAAAAAAAAATGTGGAGTAATATGCATCTTGTAATTGATGATATATTAAAGGCAAGGCTTTGTGCTTTTAACTGTCTAGATGAGTGGTGCAGATAACTGACTACTTTAGAAGTTAATGAAAGTTATATAAGAAGATCAGAGTAAGCTTTTTTTGAAAAGACTAAACTGCTTTTCAAAGTTATCTAGATTATGAATATAGGAAAACATGAAGGACTGCGCTATGTGGGTGATGAAACATGAGGAAGGATTTGAATTAATAATAGATGTAGTTTTTAGTGGAAATAGTATAGACAAAAGTAGAAGTTGGTATTGAAGAACTGTGAATGCAAACTTGGATGAATGCAAAGATCATTAGGATGAATGCAAAAATCCAAATTCAGCAAAGATCATTAGGTTTCTTTGTTTTTGTAAGGATAATTATTCTGGATCTTTCTCTCATTTATTGAAAGTGTGGATTTCAGGATTGTTGGAAGATTTGAGTCCATGAGTTGCAGTGTTGCATTTCTATCTAGGTGGAAGTAGTATATCAGAAATAGTCAAAAGAGTTCATATGATAAATGAAGATAAAAAGGGTGATAAGGTCTCCAGAGTGATATAAAAGCAGAAGTAAGAAAGAATGAAGTGTTAGGATAAGATTGTTCTTGGTAACAAAAAGGCTAGCAAGTGGGAGTTAGTAAAATAATAGGATTTGATGGTCAAGATTCTCTCTCCAGGAACTCTGTTAAAATGACATATCAGTATCAGCTTTCATATGGCAAAACATTTCTAAAGAAGGTCCATTCCATAATGTCAAAGTTTAAAGGTGGTTTATTGTACTTCTTTCTAGAAGAAGCCTGCCAGGTTGATGAACAGATTGAGAGACAGCATCAGGATGACCAAGATAAATATCTGATGCAAGTTGGATTCCCTGACAAGAAAACAATTACCAGTAAGAGTGGCCTTGACTATAATGAACTTGGAAACATACTTTATCTGAGTACAAACCTTTTTGCTTCAATACAAAGGCCCCATAAATATGAATCATTTGGATATAATATGGTAGATAATTTAGACTTATATAGTAGAAGTTCTGTGGGAAAGAAACATGATAATGGATGTGCAAAATTATTCTTCCATACTGAATATGAGAAACCAACTCCCAGAGTGAAACCTTATGGATATAAAGAGTGTGGGAAGACCCTCAGGCAAAAGAAGGGTCTTAGTCTACATCAGAGAATTCAAAATGGAGAGAAACCCTTTGAGTGTACTCCATGTAGGAAAACTTTCAGCAAGAAGTCACACCTCATTGTACATTGGAGAACTCATACAGGAGAGAAACCCTCTGGATGTACAGAATGTGGAAAAGCTTTTAGCCAAAAATCTCAGCTCATTATACACCTGAGAACTCATACAGGAGAGCGACCCTTTGAGTGTCCAGAATGTGGAAAAGCTTTCAGAGAAAAATCTACTGTCATTATACATTACAGGACTCATACAGGAGAGAAACCTTATGAATGTAATGAATGTGGGAAAGCCTTCACTCAGAAGTCACACCTCATTGTCCATCAGAAAACCCACACAGGAGAAAAAACTTATGAATGCACCAAATGTGGGGAATCTTTCATACAGAAGCTTGATCTAATTATACATCATAGTACTCATACAGGAAAGAAACCCCATGAATGTAATGAGTGTAAGAAAACTTTCAGTGACAAGTCAACTCTCATTATACATCAGCGAACTCATACGGGAGAGAAACCTCATAAATGTATGGAATGTGGGAAGTCTTTCAATGAGAAGTCAACCCTCATTGTGCATCAGCGAACTCATACAGGGGAGAAACCCTATGAATGTGATGTGTGTGGGAAAACCTTCACCCAAAAGTCAAACCTTGGTGTACATCAAAGAACTCATTCAGGAGAGAAACCCTTTGAATGTAATGAATGTGAGAAAGCATTCTCTCAGAAGTCCTATCTCATGCTACACCAGAGAGGTCATACAGGAGACAAGCCCTATGAATGCAATGAATGTGAAAAAGCATTTTCCCAGAAATCTTATCTCATTATACATCAAAGAACACATACAGAAGAAAAACCCTATAAATGCAATGAATGTGGCAAAGCCTTCAGAGAAAAGTCAAAGCTTATTATATATCAGCGAATTCATACAGGAGAAAAACCCTATGAATGTCCTGTATGTTGGAAAGCTTTCAGCCAGAAGTCTCAGCTCATAATACATCAGCGAACACACACTGGAGAGAAACCCTATGCAGGCACTGAGTGTGGCAAAGCCTTCAGAGAAAAATCAACATTTACTGTTCATCAGCAAACTCATACTGGAGAGAAACCCTATGCATGCACTGAGTGTGGCAAAGCCTTCAGAGAAAAATCAACATTTACTGTTCATCGGCAAACTCATACTGGAGAGAAACCCTATGCATGCACTGAGTGTGGCAAAGCCTTCAGAGAAAAATCAACATTTACTGTTCATCAGCGAACTCATACTGGAGAGAAACCCTATGCATGCACTGAGTGTGGCAAAGCCTTCAGAGAAAAATCAACATTTACTGTTCATCAGCAAACTCATACTGGAGAGAAACCCTATGCATGCACTGGGTGTGGCAAAGCCTTCAGAGAAAAATCAACATCTACTGTTCATCAGCGAACTCATACAGGAGGGAAACCCTATGCTTGCACTGAGTGTGGCAAAGCCTTCAGAGAAAAATCAACATTTACTGTTCATCAGCAAACTCATACTGGAGAGAAACCCTATGCATGCACTGAGTGTGGCAAAGCCTTCAGAGAAAAATCAACATTTACTGTTCATCAGCAAACTCATACTGGAGAGAAACCCTATGCATGCACTGAGTGTGGCAAAGCCTTCAGAGAAAAATCAACATTTACTGTTCATCAGCAAACTCATACTGGAGAGAAACCCTATGCATGCACTGAGTGTGGCAAAGCCTTCAGAGAAAAATCAACATTTACTGTTCATCAGCAAACTCATACTGGAGAGAAACCCTATGCATGCACTGAGTGTGGCAAAGCCTTCAGAGAAAAATCAACATTTACTGTTCATCAGCGAACTCATACGGGAGTGAAACCTCATAAATGTATGGAATGTGGGAAGTCTTTCAATGAGAAGTCAACCCTCATTGTGCATCAGCGAACTCATAAAGGGGAGAAACCCTATGAATGTGATGTGTGTGGGAAAACCTTCACCCAAAAGTCAAACCTTGGTGTACATCAAAGAACTCATTCAGGAGAGAAACCCTTTGAATGTAATGAATGTGAGAAAGCATTCTCTCAGAAGTCCTATCTCATGCTACACCAGAGAGGTCATACAGGAGACAAGCCCTATGAATGCAATGAATGTGAAAAAGCATTTTCCCAGAAATCTTATCTCATTATACATCAAAGAACACATACAGAAGAAAAACCCTATAAATGCAATGAATGTGGCAAAGCCTTCAGAGAAAAGTCAAAGCTTATTATACATCAGCGAATTCATACAGGAGAAAAACCCTATGAATGTCCTGTATGTTGGAAAGCTTTCAGCCAGAAGTCTCAGCTCATAATACATCAGCGAACACACACTGGAGAGAAACCCTATGCAGGCACTGAGTGTGGCAAAGCCTTCAGAGAAAAATCATCATTTACTGTTCATCAGCGAACTCATACTGGAGAGAAAGACTATGCATGCACTGAGTGTGGCAAAGCCTTCAGAGAAAAATCAACATTTACTGTTCATCAGCGAACTCATACTGGAGAGAAACCCTATGCATGCACTGAGTGTGGCAAAGCCTTCAGAGAAAAATCAACATTTACTGTTCATCAGCAAACTCATACTGGAGAGAAACCCTATGCATGCACTGAGTGTGGCAAAGCCTTCAGAGAAAAATCAACATCTACTGTTCATCAGCGAACTCATACAGGAGGGAAACCCTATGCTTGCACTGAGTGTGGCAAAGCCTTCAGAGAAAAATCAACATTTACTGTTCATCAGCAAACTCATACTGGAGAGAAACCCTATGCATGCACTGAGTGTGGCAAAGCCTTCAGAGAAAAATCAACATTTACTGTTCATCAGCAAACTCATACTGGAGAGAAACCCTATGCATGCACTGAGTGTGGCAAAGCCTTCAGAGAAAAATCAACATTTACTGTTCATCAGCAAACTCATACAGGAGAGAAACCCTATGCATGCACTGAGTGTGGCAAAGCCTTCAGAGAAAAATCAACATTTACTGTTCATCAGCAAACTCATACTGGAGAGAAACCGTATGCATGCACTGAGTGTGGCAAAGCCTTCAGAGAAAAATCAACATTTACTGTTCATCAGCGAACTCATACGGGAGTGAAACCTCATAAATGTATGGAATGTGGGAAGTCTTTCAATGAGAAGTCAACCCTCATTGTGCATCAGCGAACTCATACAGGGGAGAAACCCTATGAATGTGATGTGTGTGGGAAAACCTTCACCCAAAAGTCAAACCTTGGTGTACATCAAAGAACTCATTCAGGAGAGAAACCCTTTGAATGTAATGAATGTGAGAAAGCATTCTCTCAGAAGTCCTATCTCATGCTACACCAGAGAGGTCATACAGGAGACAAGCCCTATGAATGCAATGAATGTGAAAAAGCATTTTCCCAGAAATCTTATCTCATTATACATCAAAGAACACGTACAGGAGAAAAACCCTATAAATGCAATGAATGTGGCAAAGCCTTCAGAGAAAAGTCAAAGCTTATTATACATCAGCGAATTCATACAGGAGAAAAACCCTATGAATGTCCTTTATGTTGGAAAGCTTTCAGCCAGAAGTCTCAGCTCATAATACATCAGCGAACACACACTGGAGAGAAACCCTATGCAGGCACTGAGTGTGGCAAAGCCTTCAGAGAAAAATCAACATTTACTGTTCATCAGCAAACTCATACTGGAGAGAAACCCTATGCATGCACTGAGTGTGGCAAAGCCTTCAGAGAAAAATCAACATCTACTGTTCATCAGCGAACTCATACAGGAGGGAAACCTTATGCTTGCACTGAGTGTGGCAAAGCCTTCAGAGAAAAATCAACATTTACTGTTCATCAGCAAACTCATACTGGAGAGAAACCCTATGCATGCACTGAGTGTGGCAAAGCCTTCAGAGAAAAATCAACATCTACTGTTCATCAGCGAACTCATACAGGAGGGAAACCCTATGCTTGCACTGAGTGTGGCAAAGCCTTCAGAGAAAAATCAACATTTACTGTTCATCAGCAAACTCATACTGGAGAGAAACCCTATGCATGCACTGAGTGTGGCAAAGCCTTCAGAGAAAAATCAACATTTACTGTTCATCAGCAAACTCATACTGGAGAGAAACCCTATGCATGCACTGAGTGTGGCAAAGCCTTCAGAGAAAAATCAACATTTACTATTCATCAGCAAACTCATACTGGAGAGAAAGCCTATGCATGCACTGAGTGTGGCAAAGCCTTCAGAGAAAAATCAACATTTACTGTTCATCAGCGAACTCATACTGGAGAGAAACCCTATGCATACACTGAGTGTGGCAAAGCCTTCAGAGAAAAATCAACATTTACTGTTCATCAGCAAACTCATACTGGAGAGAAACCCTATGCATGCACTGAGTGTGGCAAAGCCTTCAGAGAAAAATCAACATCTACTGTTCATCAGCGAACTCATACAGGAGGGAAACCCTATGCTTGCACTGAGTGTGGCAAAGCCTTCAGAGAAAAATCAATGTTTACTGTTCATCAGCAAACTCATACTGGAGAGAAACCCTATGCATGCACTGAGTGTGGCAAAGCCTTCAGAGAAAAATCAACATTTACTGTTCATCAGCAAACTCATACTGGAGAGAAACCCTATGCATGCACTGAGTGTGGCAAAGCCTTCAGAGAAAAATCAACATTTACTGTTCATCAGCAAACTCATACTGGAGAGAAACCCTATGCATGCACTGAGTGTGGCAAAGCCTTCAGAGAAAAATCAACATTTACTGTTCATCAGCAAACTCATACTGGAGAGAAACCCTATGCATGCACTGAGTGTGGCAAAGCCTTCAGAGAAAAATCAACATTTACTGTTCATCAGCGAACTCATACGGGAGTGAAACCTCATAAATGTATGGAATGTGGGAAGTCTTTCAATGAGAAGTCAACCCTCATTGTGCATCAGCGAACTCATACAGGGGAGAAACCCTATGAATGTGATGTGTGTGGGAAAACCTTCACCCAAAAGTCAAACCTTGGTGTACATCAAAGAACTCATTCAGGAGAGAAACCCTTTGAATGTAATGAATGTGAGAAAGCATTCTCTCAGAAGTCCTATCTCATGCTACACCAGAGAGGTCATACAGGAGACAAGCCCTATGAATGCAATGAATGTGAAAAAGCATTTTCCCAGAAATCTTATCTCATTATACATCAAAGAACACATACAGAAGAAAAACCCTATAAATGCAATGAATGTGGCAAAGCCTTCAGAGAAAAGTCAAAGCTTATTATACATCAGCGAATTCATACAGGAGAAAAACCCTATGAATGTCCTGTATGTTGGAAAGCTTTCAGCCAGAAGTCTCAGCTCATAATACATCAGCGAACACACACTGGAGAGAAACCCTATGCAGGCACTGAGTGTGGCAAAGCCTTCAGAGAAAAATCAACATTTACTGTTCATCAGCAAACTCATACTGGAGAGAAACCCTATGCATGCACTGAGTGTGGCAAAGCCTTCAGAGAAAAATCAACATCTACTGTTCATCAGCGAACTCATACTGGAGAGAAACCCTATGCATGCACTGAGTGTGGCAAAGCCTTCAGAGAAAAATCAACATTTACTGTTCATCAGCGAACTCATACTGGAGAGAAACCCTATGCATGCACTGAGTGTGGCAAAGCCTTCAGAGAAAAATCAACATTTACTGTTCATCAGCAAAATCATACTGGAGAGAAACCCTATGCATGCACTGAGTGTGGCAAAGCCTTCAGAGAAAAATCAACATTTACTGTTCATCAGCAAACTCATACTGGAGAGAAACCCTATGCATGCACTGAGTGTGGCAAAGCCTTCAGAGAAAAATCAACATTTACTGTTCATCAGCGAACTCATACGGGAGTGAAACCTCATAAATGTATGGAATGTGGGAAGTCTTTCAATGAGAAGTCAACCCTCATTGTGCATCAGCGAACTCATACAGGGGAGAAACCCTATGAATGTGATGTGTGTGGGAAAACCTTCACCCAAAAGTCAAACCTTGGTGTACATCAAAGAACTCATTCAGGAGAGAAACCCTTTGAATGTAATGAATGTGAGAAAGCATTCTCTCAGAAGTCCTATCTCATGCTACACCAGAGAGGTCATACAGGAGACAAGCCCTATGAATGCAATGAATGTGAAAAAGCATTTTCCCAGAAATCTTATCTCATTATACATCAAAGAACACATACAGAAGAAAAACCCTATAAATGCAATGAATGTGCCAAAGCCTTCAGAGAAAAGTCAAAGCTTATTATACATCAGCGAATTCATACAGGAGAAAAACCCTATGAATGTCCTGTATGTTGGAAAGCTTTCAGCCAGAAGTCTCAGCTCATAATACATCAGCGAACACACACTGGAGAGAAACCCTATGCAGGCACTGAGTGTGGCAAAGCCTTCAGAGAAAAATCAACATTTACTGTTCATCAGCAAACTCATACTGGAGAGAAACCCTATGCATGCACTGAGTGTGGCAAAGCCTTCAGAGAAAAATCAACATCTACTGTTAATCAGCGAACTCATACAGGAGGGAAACCCTATGCTTGCACTGAGTGTGGCAAAGCCTTCAGAGAAAAATCAACATTTACTGTTCATCAGCAAACTCATACTGGAGAGAAACCCTATGCATGCACTGAGTGTGGCAAAGCCTTCAGAGAAAAATCAACATCTACTGTTCATCAGCGAACTCATACAGGAGGGAAACCCTATGCTTGCACTGAGTGTGGCAAAGCCTTCAGAGAAAAATCAACATTTACTGTTCATCAGCAAACTCATACTGGAGAGAAACCCTATGCATGCACTGAGTGTGGCAAAGCCTTCAGAGAAAAATCAACATTTACTGTTCATCAGCAAACTCATACTGGAGAGAAACCCTATGCATGCACTGAGTGTGGCAAAGCCTTCAGAGAAAAATCAACATCTACTGTTCATCAGCGAACTCATACAGGAGGGAAACCCTATGCTTGCACTGAGTGTGGCAAAGCCTTCAGAGAAAAATCAACATTTACTGTTCATCAGCAAACTCATACTGGAGAGAAACCCTATGCATGCCCTGAGTGTGGCAAAGCCTTCAGAGAAAAATCAACATTTACTGTTCATCAGCAAACTCATACTGGAGAGAAACCCTATGCATGCACTGAGTGTGGCAAAGCCTTCAGAGAAAAATCAACATTTACTGTTCATCAGCAAACTCATACTGGAGAGAAACCCTATGCATGCACTGAGTGTGGCAAAGCCTTCAGAGAAAAATCAACATTTACTGTTCATCAGCGAACTCATACGGGAGTGAAACCTCATAAATGTATGGAATGTGGGAAGTCTTTCAATGAGAAGTCAACCCTCATTGTGCATCAGCGAACTCATACAGGGGAGAAACCCTATGAATGTGATGTGTGTGGGAAAACCTTCACCCAAAAGTCAAACCTTGGTGTACATCAAAGAACTCATTCAGGAGAGAAACCCTTTGAATGTAATGAATGTGAGAAAGCATTCTCTCAGAAGTCCTATCTCATGCTACACCAGAGAGGTCATACAGGAGACAAGCCCTATGAATGCAATGAATGTGAAAAAGCATTTTCCCAGAAATCTTATCTCATTATACATCAAAGAACACATACAGAAGAAAAACCCTATAAATGCAATGAATGTGGCAAAGCCTTCAGAGAAAAGTCAAAGCTTATTATACATCAGCGAATTCATACAGGAGAAAAACCCTATGAATGTCCTGTATGTTGGAAAGCTTTCAGCCAGAAGTCTCAGCTCATAATACATCAGCGAACACACACTGGAGAGAAACCCTATGCAGGCACTGAGTGTGGCAAAGCCTTCAGAGAAAAATCAACATTTACTGTTCATCAGCAAACTCATACTGGAGAGAAACCCTATGCATGCACTGAGTGTGGCAAAGCTTTCAGAGAAAAATCAACATTTACTGTTCATCAGCAAACTCATACTGGAGAGAAACCCTATGCATGCACTGAGTGTGGCAAAGCCTTCAGAGAAAAATCAACATTTACTGTTCATCAGCGAACTCATACTGGAGAGAAACCCTATGCATGCACTGAGTGTGGCAAAGCCTTCAGAGAAAAATCAACATTTACTGTTCATCAGCAAACTCATACTGGAGAGAAACCCTATGCATGCACTGAGTGTGGCAAAGCCTTCAGAGAAAAATCAACATCTACTGTTCATCAGCGAACTCATACAGGAGGGAAACCCTATGCTTGCACTGAGTGTGGCAAAGCCTTCAGAGAAAATTCAACATTTACTGTTCATCAGCAAACTCATACTGGAGAGAAACCCTATGCATGCACTGAGTGTGGCAAAGCCTTCAGAGAAAAATCAACATTTACTGTTCATCAGCAAACTCATACTGGAGAGAAACCCTATGCATGCACTGAGTGTGGCAAAGCCTTCAGAGAAAAATCAACATTTACTGTTCATCAGCAAACTCATACTGGAGAGAAACCCTATGCATGCACTGAGTGTGGCAAAGCCTTCAGAGAAAAATCAACATTTACTGTTCATCAGCAAACTCATACTGGAGAGAAACCCTATGCATGCACTGAGTGTGGCAAAGCCTTCAGAGAAAAATCAACATTTACTGTTCATCAGCGAACTCATATGGGAGTGAAACCTCATAAATGTATGGAATGTGGGAAGTCTTTCAATGAGAAGTCAACCCTCATTGTGCATCAGCGAACTCATACAGGGGAGAAACCCTATGAATGTGATGTGTGTGGGAAAACCTTCACCCAAAAGTCAAACCTTGGTGTACATCAAAGAACTCATTCAGGAGAGAAACCCTTTGAATGTAATGAATGTGAGAAAGCATTCTCTCAGAAGTCCTATCTCATGCTACACCAGAGAGGTCATACAGGAGACAAGCCCTATGAATGCAATGAATGTGAAAAAGCATTTTCCCAGAAATCTTATCTCATTATACATCAAAGAACACATACAGAAGAAAAACCCTATAAATGCAATGAATGTGCCAAAGCCTTCAGAGAAAAGTCAAAGCTTATTATACATCAGCGAATTCATACAGGAGAAAAACCCTATGAATGTCCTGTATGTTGGAAAGCTTTCAGCCAGAAGTCTCAGCTCATAATACATCAGCGAACACACACTGGAGAGAAACCCTATGCAGGCACTGAGTGTGGCAAAGCCTTCAGAGAAAAATCAACATTTACTGTTCATCAGCAAACTCATACTGGAGAGAAACCCTATGCATGCACTGAGTGTGGCAAAGCCTTCAGAGAAAAATCAACATCTACTGTTAATCAGCGAACTCATACAGGAGGGAAACCCTATGCTTGCACTGAGTGTGGCAAAGCCTTCAGAGAAAAATCAACATTTACTGTTCATCAGCAAACTCATACTGGAGAGAAACCCTATGCATGCACTGAGTGTGGCAAAGCCTTCAGAGAAAAATCAACATCTACTGTTCATCAGCGAACTCATACAGGAGGGAAACCCTATGCTTGCACTGAGTGTGGCAAAGCCTTCAGAGAAAAATCAACATTTACTGTTCATCAGCAAACTCATACTGGAGAGAAACCCTATGCATGCACTGAGTGTGGCAAAGCCTTCAGAGAAAAATCAACATTTACTGTTCATCAGCAAACTCATACTGGAGAGAAACCCTATGCATGCACTGAGTGTGGCAAAGCCTTCAGAGAAAAATCAACATCTACTGTTCATCAGCGAACTCATACAGGAGGGAAACCCTATGCTTGCACTGAGTGTGGCAAAGCCTTCAGAGAAAAATCAACATTTACTGTTCATCAGCAAACTCATACTGGAGAGAAACCCTATGCATGCCCTGAGTGTGGCAAAGCCTTCAGAGAAAAATCAACATTTACTGTTCATCAGCAAACTCATACTGGAGAGAAACCCTATGCATGCACTGAGTGTGGCAAAGCCTTCAGAGAAAAATCAACATTTACTGTTCATCAGCAAACTCATACTGGAGAGAAACCCTATGCATGCACTGAGTGTGGCAAAGCCTTCAGAGAAAAATCAACATTTACTGTTCATCAGCGAACTCATACGGGAGTGAAACCTCATAAATGTATGGAATGTGGGAAGTCTTTCAATGAGAAGTCAACCCTCATTGTGCATCAGCGAACTCATACAGGGGAGAAACCCTATGAATGTGATGTGTGTGGGAAAACCTTCACCCAAAAGTCAAACCTTGGTGTACATCAAAGAACTCATTCAGGAGAGAAACCCTTTGAATGTAATGAATGTGAGAAAGCATTCTCTCAGAAGTCCTATCTCATGCTACACCAGAGAGGTCATACAGGAGACAAGCCCTATGAATGCAATGAATGTGAAAAAGCATTTTCCCAGAAATCTTATCTCATTATACATCAAAGAACACATACAGAAGAAAAACCCTATAAATGCAATGAATGTGGCAAAGCCTTCAGAGAAAAGTCAAAGCTTATTATACATCAGCGAATTCATACAGGAGAAAAACCCTATGAATGTCCTGTATGTTGGAAAGCTTTCAGCCAGAAGTCTCAGCTCATAATACATCAGCGAACACACACTGGAGAGAAACCCTATGCAGGCACTGAGTGTGGCAAAGCCTTCAGAGAAAAATCAACATTTACTGTTCATCAGCAAACTCATACTGGAGAGAAACCCTATGCATGCACTGAGTGTGGCAAAGCCTTCAGAGAAAAATCAACATTTACTGTTCATCAGCAAACTCATACTGGAGAGAAACCCTATGCATGCACTGAGTGTGGCAAAGCCTTCAGAGAAAAATCAACATTTACTGTTCATCAGCGAACTCATACTGGAGAGAAACCCTATGCATGCACTGAGTGTGGCAAAGCCTTCAGAGAAAAATCAACATTTACTGTTCATCAGCAAACTCATACTGGAGAGAAACCCTATGCATGCACTGAGTGTGGCAAAGCCTTCAGAGAAAAATCAACATCTACTGTTCATCAGCGAACTCATACAGGAGGGAAACCCTATGCTTGCACTGAGTGTGGCAAAGCCTTCAGAGAAAATTCAACATTTACTGTTCATCAGCAAACTCATACTGGAGAGAAACCCTATGCATGCACTGAGTGTGGCAAAGCCTTCAGAGAAAAATCAACATTTACTGTTCATCAGCAAACTCATACTGGAGAGAAACCCTATGCATGCACTGAGTGTGGCAAAGCCTTCAGAGAAAAATCAACATTTACTGTTCATCAGCAAACTCATACTGGAGAGAAACCCTATGCATGCACTGAGTGTGGCAAAGCCTTCAGAGAAAAATCAACATTTACTGTTCATCAGCAAACTCATACTGGAGAGAAACCCTATGCATGCACTGAGTGTGGCAAAGCCTTCAGAGAAAAATCAACATTTACTGTTCATCAGCGAACTCATACGGGAGTGAAACCTCATAAATGTATGGAATGTGGGAAGTCTTTCAATGAGAAGTCAACCCTCATTGTGCATCAGCGAACTCATACAGGGGAGAAACCCTATGAATGTGATGTGTGTGGGAAAACCTTCACCCAAAAGTCAAACCTTGGTGTACATCAAAGAACTCATTCAGGAGAGAAACCCTTTGAATGTAATGAATGTGAGAAAGCATTCTCTCAGAAGTCCTATCTCATGCTACACCAGAGAGGTCATACAGGAGACAAGCCCTATGAATGCAATGAATGTGAAAAAGCATTTTCCCAGAAATCTTATCTCATTATACATCAAAGAACACATACAGAAGAAAAACCCTATAAATGCAATGAATGTGGCAAAGCCTTCAGAGAAAAGTCAAAGCTTATTATACATCAGCGAATTCATACAGGAGAAAAACCCTATGAATGTCCTGTATGTTGGAAAGCTTTCAGCCAGAAGTCTCAGCTCATAATACATCAGCGAACACACACTGGAGAGAAACCCTATGCAGGCACTGAGTGTGGCAAAGCCTTCAGAGAAAAATCAACATTTACTGTTCATCAGCAAACTCATACTGGAGAGAAACCCTATGCATGCACTGAGTGTGGCAAAGCATTCAGAGAAAAATCAACATTTACTGTTCATCAGCAAACTCATACTGGAGAGAAACCCTATGCATGCACTGAGTGTGGCAAAGCCTTCAGAGAAAAATCAACATTTACTGTTCATCAGCGAAGTCATACTGGAGAGAAACCCTATGCATGCACTGAGTGTGGCAAAGCCTTCAGAGAAAAATCAACATTTACTGTTCATCAGCAAACTCATACTGGAGAGAAACCCTATGCATGCACTGAGTGTGGCAAAGCCTTCAGAGAAAAATCAACATTTACTGTTCATCAGCGAACTCATACAGGAGGGAAACCCTATGCTTGCACTGAGTGTGGCAAAGCCTTCAGAGAAAAATCAACGTTTACTGTTCATCAGCAAACTCATACTGGAGAGAAACCCTATGCATGCACTGAGTGTGGCAAAGCCTTCAGAGAAAAATCAACATTTACTGTTCATCAGCAAACTCATACTGGAGAGAAACCCTATGCATGCACTGAGTGTGGCAAAGCCTTCAGAGAAAAATCAACATTTACTGTTCATCAGCAAACTCATACTGGAGAGAAACCCTATGCATGCACTGAGTGTGGCAAAGCCTTCAGAGAAAAATCAACATTTACTGTTCATCAGCAAACTCATACTGGAGAGAAACCCTATGCATGCACTGAGTGTGGCAAAGCCTTCAGAGAAAAATCAACATTTACTGTTCATCAGCGAACTCATACGGGAGTGAAACCTCATAAATGTATGGAATGTGGGAAGTCTTTCAATGAGAAGTCAACCCTCATTGTGCATCAGCGAACTCATACAGGGGAGAAACCCTATGAATGTGATGTGTGTGGGAAAACCTTCACCCAAAAGTCAAACCTTGGTGTACATCAAAGAACTCATTCAGGAGAGAAACCCTTTGAATGTAATGAATGTGAGAAAGCATTCTCTCAGAAGTCCTATCTCATGCTACACCAGAGAGGTCATACAGGAGACAAGCCCTATGAATGCAATGAATGTGAAAAAGCATTTTCCCAGAAATCTTATCTCATTATACATCAAAGAACACATACAGAAGAAAAACCCTATAAATGCAATGAATGTGGCAAAGCCTTCAGAGAAAAGTCAAAGCTTATTATACATCAGCGAATTCATACAGGAGAAAAACCCTATGAATGTCCTGTATGTTGGAAAGCTTTCAGCCAGAAGTCTCAGCTCATAATACATCAGCGAACACACACTGGAGAGAAACCCTATGCAGGCACTGAGTGTGGCAAAGCCTTCAGAGAAAAATCAACATTTACTGTTCATCAGCAAACTCATACTGGAGAGAAACCCTATGCATGCACTGAGTGTGGCAAAGCCTTCAGAGAAAAATCAACATCTACTGTTCATCAGCGAACTCATACAGGAGGGAAACCCTATGCTTGCACTGAGTGTGGCAAAGCCTTCAGAGAAAAATCAACATTTACTGTTCATCAGCAAACTCATACTGGAGAGAAACCCTATGCATGCACTGAGTGTGGCAAAGCCTTCAGAGAAAAATCAACATTTACTGTTCATCAGCAAACTCATACTGGAGAGAAACCCTATGCATGCACTGAGTGTGGCAAAGCCTTCAGAGAAAAATCAACATTTACTGTTCATCAGCAAACTCATACTGGAGAGAAACCCTATGCATGCACTGAGTGTGGCAAAGCCTTCAGAGAAAAATCAACATTTACTGTTCATCAGCAAACTCATACTGGAGAGAAACCCTATGCATGCACTGAGTGTGGCAAAGCCTTCAGAGAAAAATCAACATTTACTGTTCATCAGCGAACTCATACGGGAGTGAAACCTCATAAATGTATGGAATGTGGGAAGTCTTTCAATGAGAAGTCAACCCTCATTGTGCATCAGCGAACTCATACAGGGGAGAAACCCTATGAATGTGATGTGTGTGGGAAAACCTTCACCCAAAAGTCAAACCTTGGTGTACATCAAAGAACTCATTCAGGAGAGAAACCCTTTGAATGTAATGAATGTGAGAAAGCATTCTCTCAGAAGTCCTATCTCATGCTACACCAGAGAGGTCATACAGGAGACAAGCCCTATGAATGCAATGAATGTGAAAAAGCATTTTCCCAGATCTTATCTCATTATACATCAAAGAACACATACAGAAGAAAAACCCTATAAATGCAATGAATGTGGCAAAGCCTTCAGAGAAAAGTCAAAGCTTATTATACATCAGCGAATTCATACAGGAGAAAAACCCTATGAATGTCCTGTATGTTGGAAAGCTTTCAGCCAGAAGTCTCAGCTCATAATACATCAGCGAACACACACTGGAGAGAAACCCTATGCATGCACTGAGTGTGGCAAAGCCTTCAGAGAAAAATCAACATTTACTGTTCATCAGCAAACTCATACTGGAGAGAAAGCCTATGCATGCACTGAGTGTGGCAAAGCCTTCAGAGAAAAATCAACATCTACTGTTCATCAGCGAACTCATACAGGAGGGAAACCCTATGCTTGCACTGAGTGTGGCAAAGCCTTCAGAGAAAAATCAACATTTACTGTTCATCAGCAAACTCGTACTGGAGAGAAACCCTATGCATGCCCTGAGTGTGGCAAAGCCTTCATAGAAAAATCAACATTTACTGTTCATCAGCAAACTCATACTGGAGAGAAACCCTATGCATGCACTGAGTGTGGCAAAGCCTTCAGAGAAAAATCAACATTTACTGTTCATCAGCAAACTCATACTGGAGAGAAACCCTATGCAGGCACTGAGTGTGGCAAAGCCTTCAGAGAAAAATCAACATTTACTGTTCATCAGCAAACTCATACTGGAGAGAAACCCTATGCATGCACTGAGTGTGGCAAAGCCTTCAGAGAAAAATCAACATCTACTGTTCATCAGCGAACTCATACAGGAGGGAAACCCTATGCTTGCACTGAGTGTGGCAAAGCCTTCAGAGAAAAATCAACATTTACTGTTCATCAGCAAACTCATACTGGAGAGAAACCCTATGCATGCACTGAGTGTGGCAAAGCCTTCAGAGAAAAATCAACATTTACTGTTCATCAGCGAACTCATACGGGAGTGAAACCTCATAAATGTATGGAATGTGGGAAGTCTTTCAATGAGAAGTCAACCCTCATTGTCCATCAGCGAACTCATACAGGGGAGAAACCCTATGAATGTGATGTGTGTGGGAAAACCTTCACCCAAAAGTCAAACCTTGGTGTACATCAAAGAACTCATTCAGGAGAGAAACCCTTTGAATGTAATGAATGTGAGAAAGCATTCTCTCAGAAGTCCTATCTCATGCTACACCAGAGAGGTCATACAGGAGACAAGCCCTATGAATGCAATGAATGTGAAAAAGCATTTTCCCAGAAATCTTATCTCATTATACATCAAAGAACACATACAGAAGAAAAACCCTATAAATGCAATGAATGTGGCAAAGCCTTCAGAGAAAAGTCAAAGCTTATTATACATCAGCGAATTCATACAGGAGAAAAACCCTATGAATGTCCTGTATGTTGGAAAGCTTTCAGCCAGAAGTCTCAGCTCATAATACATCAGCGAACACACACTGGAGAGAAACCCTATGCAGGCACTGAGTGTGGCAAAGCCTTCAGAGAAAAATCAACATTTACTGTTCATCAGCAAACTCATACTGGAGAGAAACCCTATGCATGCACTGAGTGTGGCAAAGCCTTCAGAGAAAAATCAACATTTACTGTTCATCAGCAAACTCATACTGGAGAGAAACCCTATGCATGCACTGAGTGTGGCAAAGCCTTCAGAGAAAAATCAACATCTACTGTTCATCAGCGAACTCATACAGGAGGGAAACCCTATGCTTGCACTGAGTGTGGCAAAGCCTTCAGAGAAAAATCAACATTTACTGTTCATCAGCAAACTCATACTGGAGAGAAACCCTATGCATGCACTGAGTGTGGCAAAGCCTTCAGAGAAATATCAACATTTACTGTTCATCAGCAAACTCATACTGGAGAGAAACCCTATGCATGCACTGAGTGTGGCAAAGCCTTCAGAGAAAAATCAACATCTACTGTTCATCAGCGAACTCATACAGGAGGGAAACCCTATGCTTGCACTGAGTGTGGCAAAGCCTTCAGAGAAAAATCAACATTTACTGTTCATCAGCAAACTCATACTGGAGAGAAACCCTATGCATGCCCTGAGTGTGGCAAAGCCTTCAGAGAAAAATCAACATTTACTGTTCATCAGCAAACTCATACTGGAGAGAAACCCTATGCATGCACTGAGTGTGGCAAAGCCTTCAGAGAAAAATCAACATTTACTGTTCATCAGCAAACTCATACTGGAGAGAAACCCTATGCATGCACTGAGTGTGGCAAAGCCTTCAGAGAAAAATCAACATTTACTGTTCATCAGCAAACTCATACTGGAGAGAAACCCTATGCATGCACTGAGTGTGGCAAAGCCTTCAGAGAAAAATCAACATTTACTGTTCATCAGCGAACTCATACGGGAGTGAAACCTCATAAATGTATGGAATGTGGGAAGTCTTTCAATGAGAAGTCAACCCTCATTGTGCATCAGCGAACTCATACAGGGGAGAAACCCTATGAATGTGATGTGTGTGGGAAAACCTTCACCCAAAAGTCAAACCTTGGTGTACATGAAAGAACTCATTCAGGAGAGAAACCCTTTGAATGTAATGAATGTGAGAAAGCATTCTCTCAGAAGTCCTATCTCATGCTACACCAGAGAGGTCATACAGGAGACAAGCCCTATGAATGCAATGAATGTGAAAAAGCATTTTCCCAGAAATCTTATCTCATTATACATCAAAGAACACATACAGAAGAAAAACCCTATAAATGCAATGAATGTGGCAAAGCCTTCAGAGAAAAGTCAAAGCTTATTATATATCAGCGAATTCATACAGGAGAAAAACCCTATGAATGTCCTGTATGTTGGAAAGCTTTCAGCCAGAAGTCTCAGCTCATAATACATCAGCGAACACACACTGGAGAGAAACCCTATGCAGGCACTGAGTGTGGCAAAGCCTTCAGAGAAAAATCAACATTTACTGTTCATCAGCAAACTCATACTGGAGAGAAACCCTATGCATGCACTGAGTGTGGCAAAGCCTTCAGAGAAAAATCAACATTTACTGTTCATCAGCAAACTCATACTGGAGAGAAACCCTATGCATGCACTGAGTGTGGCAAAGCCTTCAGAGAAAAATCAACATTTACTGTTCATCAGCAAACTCATACTGGAGAGAAACCCTATGCATGCACTGAGTGTGGCAAAGCCTTCAGAGAAAAATCAACATTTACTGTTCATCAGCGAACTCATACTGGAGTGAAACCCTATGCATGCACTGAGTGTGGCAAAGCCTTCAGAGAAAAATCAACATTTACTGTTCATCAGCAAACTCATACTGGAGAGAAACCCTATGCATGCACTGAGTGTGGCAAAGCCTTCAGAGAAAAATCAACATCTACTGTTCATCAGCGAACTCATACAGGAGGGAAACCCTATGCTTGCACTGAGTGTGGCAAAGCCTTCAGAGAAAAATCAACATCTACTGTTCATCAGCAAACTCATACTGGAGAGAAACCCTATGCATGCACTGAGTGTGGCAAAGCCTTCAGAGAAAAATCAACATCTACTGTTCATCAGCAAACTCATACTGGAGAGAAACCCTATGCATGCACTGAGTGTGGCAAAGCCTTCAGAGAAAAATCAACATTTACTGTTCATCAGCAAACTCATACTGGAGAGAAACCCTATGCATGCACTGAGTGTGGCAAAGCCTTCAGAGAAAAATCAACATTTACTGTTCATCAGCAAACTCATACTGGAGAGAAACCCTATGCATGCACTGAGTGTGGCAAAGCCTTCAGAGAAAAATCAACATTTACTGTTCATCAGCGAACTCATACGGGAGTGAAACCTCATAAATGTATGGAATGTGGGAAGTCTTTCAATGAGAAGTCAACCCTCATTGTGCATCAGCGAACTCATACAGGGGAGAAACCCTATGAATGTGATGTGTGTGGGAAAACCTTCACCCAAAAGTCAAACCTTGGTGTACATCAAAGAACTCATTCAGGAGAGAAACCCTTTGAATGTAATGAATGTGAGAAAGCATTCTCTCAGAAGTCCTATCTCATGCTACACCAGAGAGGTCATACAGGAGACAAGCCCTATGAATGCAATGAATGTGAAAAAGCATTTTCCCAGAAATCTTATCTCATTATACATCAAAGAACACATACAGAAGAAAAACCCTATAAATGCAATGAATGTGGCAAAGCCTTCAGAGAAAAGTCAAAGCTTATTATACATCAGCGAATTCATACAGGAGAAAAACCCTATGAATGTCCTGTATGTTGGAAAGCTTTGAGCCAGAAGTCTCAGCTCATAATACATCAGCGAACACACACTGGAGAGAAACCCTATGCATGCACTGAGTGTGGCAAAGCCTTCAGAGAAAAATCAACATTTACTGTTCATCAGCAAACTCATACTGGAGAGAAAGCCTATGCATGCACTGAGTGTGGCAAAGCCTTCAGAGAAAAATCAACATCTACTGTTCATCAGCGAACTCATACAGGAGGGAAACCCTATGCTTGCACTGAGTGTGGCAAAGCCTTCAGAGAAAAATCAACATTTACTGTTCATCAGCAAACTCATACTGGAGAGAAACCCTATGCATGCCCTGAGTGTGGCAAAGCCTTCATAGAAAAATCAACATTTACTGTTCATCAGCAAACTCATACTGGAGAGAAACCCTATGCATGCACTGAGTGTGGCAAAGCCTTCAGAGAAAAATCAACATTTACTGTTCATCAGCAAACTCATACTGGAGAGAAACCCTATGCATGCACTGAGTGTGGCAAAGCCTTCAGAGAAAAATCAACATTTACTGTTCATCAGCGAACTCATACGGGAGTGAAACCTCATAAATGTATGGAATGTGGGAAGTCTTTCAATGAGAAGTCAACCCTCATTGTGCATCAGCGAACTCATACAGGGGAGAAACCCTATGAATGTGATGTGTGTGGGAAAACCTTCACCCAAAAGTCAAACCTTGGTGTACATGAAAGAACTCATTCAGGAGAGAAACCCTTTGAATGTAATGAATGTGAGAAAGCATTCTCTCAGAAGTCCTATCTCATGCTACACCAGAGAGGTCATACAGGAGACAAGCCCTATGAATGCAATGAATGTGAAAAAGCATTTTCCCAGAAATCTTATCTCATTATACATCAAAGAACACATACAGAAGAAAAACCCTATAAATGCAATGAATGTGGCAAAGCCTTCAGAGAAAAGTCAAAGCTTATTATATATCAGCGAATTCATACAGGAGAAAAACCCTATGAATGTCCTGTATGTTGGAAAGCTTTCAGCCAGAAGTCTCAGCTCATAATACATCAGCGAACACACACTGGAGAGAAACCCTATGCAGGCACTGAGTGTGGCAAAGCCTTCAGAGAAAAATCAACATTTACTGTTCATCAGCAAACTCATACTGGAGAGAAACCCTATGCATGCACTGAGTGTGGCAAAGCCTTCAGAGAAAAATCAACATTTACTGTTCATCAGCAAACTCATACTGGAGAGAAACCCTATGCATGCACTGAGTGTGGCAAAGCCTTCAGAGAAAAATCAACATTTACTGTTCATCAGCAAACTCATACTGGAGAGAAACCCTATGCATGCACTGAGTGTGGCAAAGCCTTCAGAGAAAAATCAACATTTACTGTTCATCAGCGAACTCATACTGGAGTGAAACCCTATGCATGCACTGAGTGTGGCAAAGCCTTCAGAGAAAAATCAACATTTACTGTTCATCAGCAAACTCATACTGGAGAGAAACCCTATGCATGCACTGAGTGTGGCAAAGCCTTCAGAGAAAAATCAACATCTACTGTTCATCAGCGAACTCATACAGGAGGGAAACCCTATGCTTGCACTGAGTGTGGCAAAGCCTTCAGAGAAAAATCAACATCTACTGTTCATCAGCAAACTCATACTGGAGAGAAACCCTATGCATGCACTGAGTGTGGCAAAGCCTTCAGAGAAAAATCAACATCTACTGTTCATCAGCAAACTCATACTGGAGAGAAACCCTATGCATGCACTGAGTGTGGCAAAGCCTTCAGAGAAAAATCAACATTTACTGTTCATCAGCAAACTCATACTGGAGAGAAACCCTATGCATGCACTGAGTGTGGCAAAGCCTTCAGAGAAAAATCAACATTTACTGTTCATCAGCAAACTCATACTGGAGAGAAACCCTATGCATGCACTGAGTGTGGCAAAGCCTTCAGAGAAAAATCAACATTTACTGTTCATCAGCGAACTCATACGGGAGTGAAACCTCATAAATGTATGGAATGTGGGAAGTCTTTCAATGAGAAGTCAACCCTCATTGTGCATCAGCGAACTCATACAGGGGAGAAACCCTATGAATGTGATGTGTGTGGGAAAACCTTCACCCAAAAGTCAAACCTTGGTGTACATCAAAGAACTCATTCAGGAGAGAAACCCTTTGAATGTAATGAATGTGAGAAAGCATTCTCTCAGAAGTCCTATCTCATGCTACACCAGAGAGGTCATACAGGAGACAAGCCCTATGAATGCAATGAATGTGAAAAAGCATTTTCCCAGAAATCTTATCTCATTATACATCAAAGAACACATACAGAAGAAAAACCCTATAAATGCAATGAATGTGGCAAAGCCTTCAGAGAAAAGTCAAAGCTTATTATACATCAGCGAATTCATACAGGAGAAAAACCCTATGAATGTCCTGTATGTTGGAAAGCTTTGAGCCAGAAGTCTCAGCTCATAATACATCAGCGAACACACACTGGAGAGAAACCCTATGCATGCACTGAGTGTGGCAAAGCCTTCAGAGAAAAATCAACATTTACTGTTCATCAGCAAACTCATACTGGAGAGAAAGCCTATGCATGCACTGAGTGTGGCAAAGCCTTCAGAGAAAAATCAACATCTACTGTTCATCAGCGAACTCATACAGGAGGGAAACCCTATGCTTGCACTGAGTGTGGCAAAGCCTTCAGAGAAAAATCAACATTTACTGTTCATCAGCAAACTCATACTGGAGAGAAACCCTATGCATGCCCTGAGTGTGGCAAAGCCTTCATAGAAAAATCAACATTTACTGTTCATCAGCAAACTCATACTGGAGAGAAACCCTATGCATGCACTGAGTGTGGCAAAGCCTTCAGAGAAAAATCAACATTTACTGTTCATCAGCAAACTCATACTGGAGAGAAACCCTATGCATGCACTGAGTGTGGCAAAGCCTTCAGAGAAAAATCAACATTTACTGTTCATCAGCAAACTCATACTGGAGAGAAACCCTATGCATGCACTGAGTGTGGCAAAGCCTTCAGAGAAAAATCAACATCTACTGTTCATCAGCGAACTCATACAGGAGGGAAACCCTATGCTTGCACTGAGTGTGGCAAAGCCTTCAGAGAAAAATCAACATTTACTGTTCATCAGCAAACTCATACTGGAGAGAAACCCTATGCATGCACTGAGTGTGGCAAAGCCTTCAGAGAAAAATCAACATTTACTGTTCATCAGCGAACTCATACGGGAGTGAAACCTCATAAATGTATGGAATGTGGGAAGTCTTTCAATGAGAAGTCAACCCTCATTGTCCATCAGCGAACTCATACAGGGGAGAAACCCTATGAATGTGATGTGTGTGGGAAAACCTTCACCCAAAAGTCAAACCTTGGTGTACATCAAAGAACTCATTCAGGAGAGAAACCCTTTGAATGTAATGAATGTGAGAAAGCATTCTCTCAGAAGTCCTATCTCATGCTACACCAGAGAGGTCATACAGGAGACAAGCCCTATGAATGCAATGAATGTGAAAAAGCATTTTCCCAGAAATCTTATCTCATTATACATCAAAGAACACATACAGAAGAAAAACCCTATAAATGCAATGAATGTGGCAAAGCCTTCAGAGAAAAGTCAAAGCTTATTATACATCAGCGAATTCATACAGGAGAAAAACCCTATGAATGTCCTGTATGTTGGAAAGCTTTCAGCCAGAAGTCTCAGCTCATAATACATCAGCGAACACACACTGGAGAGAAACCCTATGCAGGCACTGAGTGTGGCAAAGCCTTCAGAGAAAAATCAACATTTACTGTTCATCAGCAAACTCATACAGGAGGGAAACCCTATGCTTGCACTGAGTGTGGCAAAGCCTTCAGAGAAAAATCAACATCTACTGTTCATCAGCGAACTCATACAGGAGGGAAACCCTATGCTTGCACTGAGTGTGGCAAAGCCTTCAGAGAAAAATCAACATTTACTGTTCATCAGCAAACTCATACTGGAGAGAAACCCTATGCATGCACTGAGTGTGGCAAAGCCTTCAGAGAAAAATCAACATCTACTGTTCATCAGCGAACTCATACAGGAGGGAAACCCTATGCTTGCACTGAGTGTGGCAAAGCCTTCAGAGAAAAATCAACATCTACTGTTCATCAGCAAACTCATACTGGAGAGAAACCCTATGCATGCACTGAGTGTGGCAAAGCCTTCAGAGAAAAATCAACATTTACTGTTCATCAGCAAACTCATACTGGAGAGAAACCCTATGCATGCACTGAGTGTGGCAAAGCCTTCAGAGAAAAATCAACATTTACTGTTCATCAGCGAACTCATACGGGAGTGAAACCTCATAAATGTATGGAATGTGGGAAGTCTTTCAATGAGAAGTCAACCCTCATTGTGCATCAGCGAACTCATACAGGGGAGAAACCCTATGAATGTGATGTGTGTGGGAAAACCTTCACCCAAAAGTCAAACCTTGGTGTACATCAAAGAACTCATTCAGGAGAGAAACCCTTTGAATGTAATGAATGTGAGAAAGCATTCTCTCAGAAGTCCTATCTCATGCTACACCAGAGAGGTCATACAGGAGACAAGCCCTATGAATGCAATGAATGTGAAAAAGCATTTTCCCAGAAATCTTATCTCATTATACATCAAAGAACACATACAGAAGAAAAACCCTATAAATGCAATGAATGTGGCAAAGCCTTCAGAGAAAAGTCAAAGCTTATTATACATCAGCGAATTCATACAGGAGAAAAACCCTATGAATGTCCTGTATGTTGGAAAGCTTTCAGCCAGAAGTCTCAGCTCATAATACATCAGCGAACACACACTGGAGAGAAACCCTATGCAGGCACTGAGTGTGGCAAAGCCTTCAGAGAAAAATCAACATTTACTGTTCATCAGCGAACTCATACTGGAGAGAAAGACTATGCATGCACTGAGTGTGGCAAAGCCTTCAGAGAAAAATCAACATTTACTGTTCATCAGCGAACTCATACTGGAGAGAAACCCTATGCATGCACTGAGTGTGGCAAAGCCTTCAGAGAAAAATCAACATTTACTGTTCATCAGCAAACTCATACTGGAGAGAAACCCTATGCATGCACTGAGTGTGGCAAAGCCTTCAGAGAAAAATCAACATCTACTGTTCATCAGCGAACTCATACAGGAGGGAAACCCTATGCTTGCACTGAGTGTGGCAAAGCCTTCAGAGAAAAATCAACATTTACTGTTCATCAGCAAACTCATACTGGAGAGAAACCCTATGCATGCACTGAGTGTGGCAAAGCCTTCAGAGAAAAATCAACATTTACTGTTCATCAGCAAACTCATACTGGAGAGAAACCCTATGCATGCACTGAGTGTGGCAAAGCCTTCAGAGAAAAATCAACATTTACTGTTCATCAGCGAACTCATACTGGAGAGAAACCCTATGCATGCACTGAGTGTGGCAAAGCCTTCAGAGAAAAATCAACATTTACTGTTCATCAGCAAACTCATACTGGAGAGAAACCCTATGCATGCACTGAGTGTGGCAAAGCCTTCAGAGAAAAATCAACATCTACTGTTCATCAGCGAACTCATACAGGAGGGAAACCCTATGCTTGCACTGAGTGTGGCAAAGCCTTCAGAGAAAAATCAACATTTACTGTTCATCAGCAAACTCATACTGGAGAGAAACCCTATGCATGCACTGAGTGTGGCAAAGCCTTCAGAGAAAAATCAACATTTACTGTTCATCAGCAAACTCATACTGGAGACAAACCCTATGCATGCACTGAGTGTGGCAAAGCCTTCAGAGAAAAATCAACATTTACTGTTCATCAGCAAACTCATACTGGAGAGAAACCCTATGCATGCACTGAGTGTGGCAAAGCCTTCAGAGAAAAATCAACATTTACTGTTCATCAGCAAACTCATACTGGAGAGAAACCCTATGCATGCACTGAGTGTGGCAAAGCCTTCAGAGAAAAATCAACATTTACTGTTCATCAGCGAACTCATACGGGAGTGAAACCTCATAAATGTATGGAATGTGGGAAGTCTTTCAATGAGAAGTCAACCCTCATTGTGCATCAGCGAACTCATACAGGGGAGAAACCCTATGAATGTGATGTGTGTGGGAAAACCTTCACCCAAAAGTCAAACCTTGGTGTACATCAAAGAACTCATTCAGGAGAGAAACCCTTTGAATGTAATGAATGTGAGAAAGCATTCTCTCAGAAGTCCTATCTCATGCTACACCAGAGAGGTCATACAGGAGACAAGCCCTATGAATGCAATGAATGTGAAAAAGCATTTTCCCAGAAATCTTATCTCATTATACATCAAAGAACACATACAGAAGAAAAACCCTATAAATGCAATGAATGTGGCAAAGCCTTCAGAGAAAAGTCAAAGCTTATTATACATCAGCGAATTCATACAGGAGAAAAACCCTATGAATGTCCTGTATGTTGGAAAGCTTTCAGCCAGAAGTCTCAGCTCATAATACATCAGCGAACACACACTGGAGAGAAACCCTATGCAGGCACTGAGTGTGGCAAAGCCTTCAGAGAAAAATCAACATTTACTGTTCATCAGCAAACTCATACTGGAGAGAAACCCTATGCATGCACTGAGTGTGGCAAAGCCTTCAGAGAAAAATCAACATCTACTGTTCATCAGCGAACTCATACAGGAGGGAAACCCTATGCTTGCACTGAGTGTGGCAAAGCCTTCAGAGAAAAATCAACATTTACTGTTCATCAGCAAACTCATACTGGAGAGAAACCCTATGCATGCCCTGAGTGTGGCAAAGCCTTCAGAGAAAAATCAACATTTACTGTTCATCAGCAAACTCATACTGGAGAGAAACCCTATGCATGCACTGAGTGTGGCAAAGCCTTCAGAGAAAAATCAACATTTACTGTTCATCAGCAAACTCATACTGGAGAGAAACCCTATGCATGCACTGAGTGTGGCAAAGCCTTCAGAGAAAAATCAACATTTACTGTTCATCAGCAAACTCATACTGGAGAGAAACCCTATGCATGCACTGAGTGTGGCAAAGCCTTCAGAGAAAAATCAACATTTACTGTTCATCAGCGAACTCATACGGGAGTGAAACCTCATAAATGTATGGAATGTGGGAAGTCTTTCAATGAGAAGTCAACCCTCATTGTGCATCAGCGAACTCATACAGGGGAGAAACCCTATGAATGTGATGTGTGTGGGAAAACCTTCACCCAAAAGTCAAACCTTGGTGTACATCAAAGAACTCATTCAGGAGAGAAACCCTTTGAATGTAATGAATGTGAGAAAGCATTCTCTCAGAAGTCCTATCTCATGCTACACCAGAGAGGTCATACAGGAGACAAGCCCTATGAATGCAATGAATGTGAAAAAGCATTTTCCCAGAAATCTTATCTCATTATACATCAAAGAACACATACAGAAGAAAAACCCTATAAATGCAATGAATGTGGCAAAGCCTTCAGAGAAAAGTCAAAGCTTATTATACATCAGCGAATTCATACAGGAGAAAAACCCTATGAATGTCCTGTATGTTGGAAAGCTTTCAGCCAGAAGTCTCAGCTCATAATACATCAGCGAACACACACTGGAGAGAAACCCTATGCAGGCACTGAGTGTGGCAAAGCCTTCAGAGAAAAATCAACAGTTACTGTTCATCAGCAAACTCATACTGGAGAGAAACCCTATGCATGCACTGAGTGTGGCAAAGCCTTCAGAGAAAAATCAACATCTACTGTTCATCAGCGAACTCATACAGGAGGGAAACCCTATGCTTGCACTGAGTGTGGCAAAGCCTTCAGAGAAAAATCAACATTTACTGTTCATCAGCAAACTCATACTGGAGAGAAACCCTATGCATGCCCTGAGTGTGGCAAAGCCTTCAGAGAAAAATCAACATTTACTGTTCATCAGCAAACTCATACTGGAGAGAAACCCTATGCATGCACTGAGTGTGGCAAAGCCTTCAGAGAAAAATCAACATTTACTGTTCATCAGCGAACTCATACGGGAGTGAAACCTCATAAATGTATGGAATGTGGGAAGTCTTTCAATGAGAAGTCAACCCTCATTGTGCATCAGCGAACTCATACAGGGGAGAAACCCTATGAATGTGATGTGTGTGGGAAAACCTTCACCCAAAAGTCAAACCTTGGTGTACATCAAAGAACTCATTCAGGAGAGAAACCCTTTGAATGTAATGAATGTGAGAAAGCATTCTCTCAGAAGTCCTATCTCATGCTACACCAGAGAGGTCATACAGGAGACAAGCCCTATGAATGCAATGAATGTGAAAAAGCATTTTCCCAGAAATCTTATCTCATTATACATCAAAGAACACATACAGAAGAAAAACCCTATAAATGCAATGAATGTGGCAAAGCCTTCAGAGAAAAGTCAAAGCTTATTATACATCAGCGAATTCATACAGGAGAAAAACCCTATGAATGTCCTGTATGTTGGAAAGCTTTCAGCCAGAAGTCTCAGCTCATAATACATCAGCGAACACACACTGGAGAGAAACCCTATGCAGGCACTGAGTGTGGCAAAGCCTTCAGAGAAAAATCAACAGTTACTGTTCATCAGCAAACTCATACTGGAGAGAAACCCTATGCATGCACTGAGTGTGGCAAAGCCTTCAGAGAAAAATCAACATCTACTGTTCATCAGCGAACTCATACAGGAGGGAAACCCTATGCTTGCACTGAGTGTGGCAAAGCCTTCAGAGAAAAATCAACATTTACTGTTCATCAGCAAACTCATACTGGAGAGAAACCCTATGCATGCACTGAGTGTGGCAAAGCCTTCAGAGAAAAATCAACATCTACTGTTCATCAGCGAACTCATACAGGAGGGAAACCCTATGCTTGCACTGAGTGTGGCAAAGCCTTCAGAGAAAAATCAACATTTACTGTTCATCAGCAAACTCATACTGGAGAGAAACCCTATGCATGCACTGAGTGTGGCAAAGCCTTCAGAGAAAAATCAACATTTACTGTTCATCAGCAAACTCATACTGGAGAGAAACCCTATGCATGCACTGAGTGTGGCAAAGCCTTCAGAGAAAAATCAACATTTACTGTTCATCAGCGAACTCATACTGGAGAGAAACCCTATGCATGCACTGAGTGTGGCAAAGCCTTCAGAGAAAAATCAACATTTACTGTTCATCAGCAAACTCATACTGGAGAGAAACCCTATGCATGCACTGAGTGTGGCAAAGCCTTCAGAGAAAAATCAACATCTACTGTTCATCAGCGAACTCATACAGGAGGGAAACCCTATGCTTGCACTGAGTGTGGCAAAGCCTTCAGAGAAAAATCAACATTTACTGTTCATCAGCAAACTCATACTGGAGAGAAACCCTATGCATGCACTGAGTGTGGCAAAGCCTTCAGAGAAAAATCAACATTTACTGTTCATCAGCAAACTCATACTGGAGAGAAACCCTATGCATGCACTGAGTGTGGCAAAGCCTTCAGAGAAAAATCAACATTTACTGTTCATCAGCAAACTCATACTGGAGAGAAACCCTATGCATGCACTGAGTGTGGCAAAGCCTTCAGAGAAAAATCAACATTTACTGTTCATCAGCAAACTCATACTGGAGAGAAACCCTATGCATGCACTGAGTGTGGCAAAGCCTTCAGAGAAAAATCAACATTTACTGTTCATCAGCGAACTCATACGGGAGTGAAACCTCATAAATGTATGGAATGTGGGAAGTCTTTCAATGAGAAGTCAACCCTCATTGTGCATCAGCGAACTCATACAGGGGAGAAACCCTATGAATGTGATGTGTGTGGGAAAACCTTCACCCAAAAGTCAAACCTTGGTGTACATCAAAGAACTCATTCAGGAGAGAAACCCTTTGAATGTAATGAATGTGAGAAAGCATTCTCTCAGAAGTCCTATCTCATGCTACACCAGAGAGGTCATACAGGAGACAAGCCCTATGAATGCAATGAATGTGAAAAAGCATTTTCCCAGAAATCTTATCTCATTATACATCAAAGAACACATACAGAAGAAAAACCCTATAAATGCAATGAATGTGGCAAAGCCTTCAGAGAAAAGTCAAAGCTTATTATACATCAGCGAATTCATACAGGAGAAAAACCCTATGAATGTCCTGTATGTTGGAAAGCTTTCAGCCAGAAGTCTCAGCTCATAATACATCAGCGAACACACACTGGAGAGAAACCCTATGCAGGCACTGAGTGTGGCAAAGCCTTCAGAGAAAAATCAACATTTACTGTTCATCAGCAAACTCATACTGGAGAGAAACCCTATGCATGCACTGAGTGTGGCAAAGCCTTCAGAGAAAAATCAACATCTACTGTTCATCAGCGAACTCATACAGGAGGGAAACCCTATGCTTGCACTGAGTGTGGCAAAGCCTTCAGAGAAAAATCAACATTTACTGTTCATCAGCAAACTCATACTGGAGAGAAACCCTATGCATGCACTGAGTGTGGCAAAGCCTTCAGAGAAAAATCAACATTTACTGTTCATCAGCAAACTCATACTGGAGAGAAACCCTATGCATGCACTGAGTGTGGCAAAGCCTTCAGAGAAAAATCAACATTTACTGTTCATCAGCAAACTCATACTGGAGAGAAACCCTATGCATGCACTGAGTGTGGCAAAGCCTTCAGAGAAAAATCAACATCTACTGTTCATCAGCAAACTCATACTGGAGAGAAACCCTATGCATGCACTGAGTGTGGCAAAGCCTTCAGAGAAAAATCAACATTTACTGTTCATCAGCAAACTCATACTGGAGAGAAACCCTATGCATGCACTGAGTGTGGCAAAGCCTTCAGAGAAAAATCAACATTTACTGTTCATCAGCAAACTCATACTGGAGAGAAACCCTATGCATGCACTGAGTGTGGCAAAGCCTTCAGAGAAAAATCAACATTTACTGTTCATCAGCAAACTCATACTGGAGAGAAACCCTATGCATGCACTGAGTGTGGCAAAGCCTTCAGAGAAAAATCAACATTTACTGTTCATCAGCGAACTCATACGGGAGTGAAATCTCATAAATGTATGGAATGTGGGAAGTCTTTCAATGAGAAGTCAACCCTCATTGTGCATCAGCGAACTCATACAGGGGAGAAACCCTATGAATGTGATGTGTGTGGGAAAACCTTCACCCAAAAGTCAAACCTTGGTGTACATCAAAGAACTCATTCAGGAGAGAAACCCTTTGAATGTAATGAATGTGAGAAAGCATTCTCTCAGAAGTCCTATCTCATGCTACACCAGAGAGGTCATACAGGAGACAAGCCCTATGAATGCAATGAATGTGAAAAAGCATTTTCCCAGAAATCTTATCTCATTATACATCAAAGAACACATACAGAAGAAAAACCCTATAAATGCAATGGATGTGGCAAAGCCTTCAGAGAAAAGTCAAAGCTTATTATACATCAGCGAATTCATACAGGAGAAAAACCCTATGAATGTCCTGTATGTTGGAAAGCTTTCAGCCAGAAGTCTCAGCTCATAATACATCAGCGAACACACACTGGAGAGAAACCCTATGCAGGCACTGAGTGTGGCAAAGCCTTCAGAGAAAAATCAACATTTACTGTTCATCAGCAAACTCATACTGGAGAGAAACCCTATGCATGCACTGAGTGTGGCAAAGCCTTCAGAGAAAAATCAACATTTACTGTTCATCAGCAAACTCATACTGGAGAGAAACCCTATGCATGCACTGAGTGTGGCAAAGCCTTCAGAGAAAAATCAACATTTACTGTTCATCAGCGAACTCATACTGGAGAGAAACCCTATGCATGCACTGAGTGTGGCAAAGCCTTCAGAGAAAAATCAACATTTACTGTTCATCAGCAAACTCATACTGGAGAGAAACCCTATGCATGCACTGAGTGTGGCAAAGCCTTCAGAGAAAAATCAACATCTACTGTTCATCAGCGAACTCATACAGGAGGGAAACCCTATGCTTGCACTGAGTGTGGCAAAGCCTTCAGAGAAAAATCAACATTTACTGTTCATCAGCAAACTCATACTGGAGAGAAACCCTATGCATGCACTGAGTGTGGCAAAGCCTTCAGAGAAAAATCAACATTTACTGTTCATCAGCAAACTCATACTGGAGAGAAACCCTATGCATGCACTGAGTGTGGCAAAGCCTTCAGAGAAAAATCAACATTTACTGTTCATCAGCAAACTCATACTGGAGAGAAACCCTATGCATGCACTGAGTGTGGCAAAGCCTTCAGAGAAAAATCAACATTTACTGTTCATCAGCAAACTCATACTGGAGAGAAACCCTATGCATGCACTGAGTGTGGCAAAGCCTTCAGAGAAAAATCAACATTTACTGTTCATCAGCGAACTCATACGGGAGTGAAACCTCATAAATGTATGGAATGTGGGAAGTCTTTCAATGAGAAGTCAACCCTCATTGTGCATCAGCGAACTCATACAGGGGAGAAACCCTATGAATGTGATGTGTGTGGGAAAACCTTCACCCAAAAGTCAAACCTTGGTGTACATCAAAGAACTCATTCAGGAGAGAAACCCTTTGAATGTAATGAATGTGAGAAAGCATTCTCTCAGAAGTCCTATCTCATGCTACACCAGAGAGGTCATACAGGAGACAAGCCCTATGAATGCAATGAATGTGAAAAAGCATTTTCCCAGAAATCTTATCTCATTATACATCAAAGAACACATACAGAAGAAAAACCCTATAAATGCAATGAATGTGGCAAAGCCTTCAGAGAAAAGTCAAAGCTTATTATACATCAGCGAATTCATACAGGAGAAAAACCCTATGAATGTCCTGTATGTTGGAAAGCTTTCAGCCAGAAGTCTCAGCTCATAATACATCAGCGAACACACACTGGAGAGAAACCCTATGCATGCACTGAGTGTGGCAAAGCCTTCAGAGAAAAATCAACATTTACTGTTCATCAGCAAACTCATACTGGAGAGAAACCCTATGCATGCACTGAGTGTGGCAAAGCCGTCAGAGAAAAATCAACATTTACTGTTCATCAGCGAACTCATACTGGAGAGAAACCCTATGCATGCACTGAGTGTGGCAAAGCCTTCAGAGAAAAATCAACATTTACTGTTCATCAGCGAACTCATACAGGAGAGAAACCCTATGCATGCACTGAGTGTGGCAAAGCCTTCAGAGAAAAATCAACATTTACTGTTCATCAGCAAACTCATACTGGAGAGAAACCCTATGCATGCACTGAGTGTGGCAAAGCCTTCAGAGAAAAATCAACATTTACTGTTCATCAGCAAACTCATACTGGAGAGAAACCCTATGCTTGCACTGAGTGTGGCAAAGCCTTCAGAGAAAAATCAACATTTACTGTTCATCAGCGAACTCATACTGGAGAGAAACCCTATAAGTGTACAGAATGTGGGAAAGCCTTTACTCAAAAATCAAATCTTATTGTACATCAGAGAACTCATACAGGAAAGAAAGCCCATGGGAAAGGCCATTCTTGGAAGTCCAAGCTCATTGCACATTAGAGAATTGATGGTGCAATTGTGTTCACTGAAGGACATTTTTGCCAGTTTAATTAAACATTTAAAAAGTATATTCTGACTTCTGGTTTAAATATATAGAGAGTAAAGTTAGCCTTTTTTTTTTCTTTTCATCTCCGTCTTCACCCAGAGGCTACAAGGAGAAAAGGAAGGACTTTGTATCTGACAAAATTAGGAAATAGCTGAAAACAGATGAGAGGGCTGTCAGAGGCAGAGGAAATCAAGCACCAGTGCAAGGAGATTTCAAAGGCTATAGAGGAGTGGTCAAGGCTGCAGATGTGAGATAGCACTAGTAAGGACTCTTAGCCAAGTGTTAGGCTATACCCTGAGTGCCAGACCATATAGATACATAACAGTGGTAACAGAGTATGGGCAGGTGGGACGTTTCCTCGACCCATATGGAAGTCTCAGGAGAGACAGGCAGGGGCCTCAACAAGGAAGTGCTCAGACAAGCCATATTTGCAGAAAGTAGTCTATACTTGTGAGAGGAGCAGTTGGTAGGGGTTGGGGAAAGAGAACGGAGTGTTCTTGTGAAGAACCCAACAGCTGCCCCTATTTACTGACTCGGGAGAAGTCTGAAAGAACTACCAAATGGAAAAAAAAATCCAGTTGGAAAGCTCTGATCTGCCTAGAACATGGCCCCATTTCTTCCCCTACATGAACTTCCAGCAAACAGCAAGTCCAGGAAAACTTACTCAAGGAGGAATGATTCCAAAGAATCAAAACCAAAAACACACATGGCTTTTGAGCCAGCAGTTCCAATTCTAGGACTGTATATACTCTTGAATGTACCAGAAGACGGACATACAGGGGTATTCAGTGATGTACTGTTTGTGAAAACAAAAGGTTGGAAGCTTTCCACATGGCTCCTGAAATCCTGGAATGTTCATACAGCAACCTTTCAGGTAGACAAAAAACAAGAATATATAAAGAAAACTTGGACACCATTTGTTTAGTGATGTGGGATGATATCCAACATACATTATTGGGTGAGAAAAGCAAGGTGCAGGATAGTGAGAATACTATGCTGCCATTTGTATATAAACAGGAGAATAAATGATAAATACATAATTGAGTGTATATGCATAAACTATCTCTGGAAAGATACACAAGAAACTGGGAACCCTGATTACCTCTGGGAAAGGGATGGGGAAGTGGGTGGCTGGAGGGAAAGAATTGGGAGTGAGAGAACTTTTGAAAATTGTACTATGTGGATGTACTACCTTCTCAAAAAATAACTTTTAAACAACACGTTTTGTTCTGTTACTGTTCAAAGGAAGTCAGGTTCCAGATACAGGATTTCATAATATTTAAATATAGATATTCTTAAGGTGGAGCTTAGGGCTTCCCAGGTGGCTCAATGATAAACAATCTACCTGTCAATGCAGGAGATACAGGTTTGATCCCTGGGTTGGGAAGATCCCCTGGAGTAGGAAATGGCAACCCACTCCAGTATTCTTGCCTGGAAATTCCCACGGACAGAGGAACCTGATGGGCTGCAGTCCCTGGGGTTGCAAAGAGTTGGACACAACTGAGCATGCACATACAAAACAGACTCACAGACATAGAGAACAGACTTGGGATTGCCAAGGAGAAGAGGGAAAGAGGAGGGATGGACTGGGAGTTTGGGGTTAGTAGATGCAAACTATTACATTTAGCATGGATAAACAAGGTCCAACTTTATAGCACAGGGAACTATATTCACTATCCTGTAATAAACCACGACTGAAAAGAATATGAAAAAGAATATATACATGTATGTATAACTGAATCACTTAGCTATGCAGAAATTAACACAATATTGTAAATCAATTATACTTCAATAAAATTAAAAAACAAAAGAAACTTTTCATCCTCCTCCTGATAGAAAAATATTCCTGGGGTTTCTGGCCCATCAAAGGTCACCCTTAAGTGGGATGGGGAGGGGTGGTCAGGTCTTGCCACTCCAGGTTGATTTTTTACTCCTGCTTCCTGGAGCCCAGGTGGCAATCTGATGTGATGGGTCATGTAGCTAATCAGAGGTGAGTGAGGCAGGGACCTAGAGGCAAAAGAGGGGATGAACAGCAGAATGTGGATAAATGGAATGGAGTCAGGGGAGAGACAATGAAGGGCTGAGTATGGGAATGGGTCGATGAGGGACAGTGGGGGTGAATAGGAAAGGGCAGAGAGAAATGGAAGTATCCAATAGAGTGAGTTCCTGGAGAACAAACAGTTGAATGTAAGCAGTGCCAAGGAGAATGGGAGTGAGTAGTTTGAGCAGACAGGGTGGATATTGGAAATGTGGACCAAGTGGAGTAAATTGGAAACAATATGAGGCACAGTGGGAATGACAGTGGTGAATGGGGCAGAGTGAAAAGCAGTCAGGCTCATGGCAAAATGGGGCAGAGTGTTTAGTAAGCGCATAGAGGAAGAGTGTGGGTGGGCAACGTGTGGCAGACCACCAGACCAGGCGAGTGCCAGGTGCTATGTGTGGTGAGTGAGGGGGATCTGTGGAGTTGGGCTGTAGGGTCTCAGTCTCACTGATGCAGAAGTGTTGATGAGAACTGAGGGGAAGAAGTGGGAGGTGGTCTCAGGAGCTTCCCCAGGTCCCCCATTGGTGACCACAGGTATATGGGATGGGAGCAGCCTATGATCAGGACACACAGCTCAACGAAGAGTTCCTCCATGTCAACAACATGCAGAGAGGGCAAGGCCCTCTGACAAGTATATCCCTGACACATCCCCTAAATCGACTTGATATTCACATTCCTATATTTCAGTAACTCTTGTTTCTTCCATAGTAGATTTCATTTATTCTTTTTAATGCATCCTACAAGCTATTAACTTACTTGCTGACTATATTTAACACATCTTAGGAATTCTGCCTGTGTCTCAAAAGCTGCTTGCTTACTCATCACCTGTACTTCACACATCTGCTCATATTTCAAGCTCCTAGCGTACTTACTACCTATGCTTAACACTTCTTAGGAGCTTCCTCCATTACACTTGTTTTCTTGTCCTTCAGAAGTGATGAAGCAATAGAGACCATCAAATTCTTGGAGAAGATTAATTGAGAAACCCTGGACTGATCAAGGGAGGAAAAAAAAGGAAAACACAAGTTTTCAAATCAGAATGATAGAGCGGATATCACTACAGATTTAATTAATATAAACATCAAGGAATTACGAAAAATCTCTGACAGTAAAGTTGATAATTTAATGTAATTAATAAAGGAGAAAAATATAATGACCACTATAGATCTAGAGAAAGGATCTCATAACACTCAACACCCTTTCCAAATATAAATTAACAAACTAGGGCTAGAGAGAACTTCCTTCAGTCTGATAAGGGCTGCATTAAAAGAAACCGCAAAGACTTAATGGTGATATGGTCAAAACTTGTCTTGAGACAAGATATCTGCTATGCCCACTCCTATTCAACAATGTACTGGAGGCCTTAGGCAGTGAAATACAGCAAGAAAAAGGAGTAATGGCTGGAAGGGAATAAATAAAACTCAGTGTCTGCAGATGACATGTACACACAGAAAATCCCAAAGGACCTACAGATGCGTTCTGAATAAGTGAATTTAGCAAACTTGCTAATATAAGCTGAAATTACAGAAAGTGTTTATCTTTGTCCTGGCAGCAAACAACTAGAAAATTGACACCACAGTTTCAATTTTGGGGAACAGAGAGAAGCAACGGGGCCATATAATGGAAGTCCTTGAAAGTTTAAATTTGGATGGGGTGGAATCTGACTAAAACACAGGGAGAAAACACCTTGAGGTTTCTCACAAGGGTGAGAGAAGTAGAAGAAATGAAAGTCACAAAGGTAAGGACAGCTCTTTAAGTGTCTGTGTAAGGAAAGGAATTGATGACAACGAGAGAGAGAGAAAGTGAAAAGGCCAGGGAAGGGGAGAATGATGGAGAAAAGTTCCTTTCAGCTGGAGGAGGCAGGGATAACATCCTGAGGGCACGGCAGGCAGGTAGTGTTCTTTTCTCTTTTTATATGTTGATTTTATGTTCTTTTTAAAATTGTGGCTGCACTGGCTCTTTGTTGCAGCACATGTGCTCCAACTATGCCCTCCATCGTTGCGGCATGAAGGCTTAGTTGCCCCACAGCATAAGAGATCTTAATTCCCCAACCAGGGATTGAACCTGAGTCCCTGCATTGGAAGATGGACTCTTAACCACTGGACCACTAGGGAAGTCCCAGGGTTCTTTCTCAAAGCTAAGCAAAGAGTAGGGGAAGATGCGTAGAGAGGCCGTTTAATCTAAGGAACTCCTATCCATGTCCTTTGAGGAATACTGTTGGCATGTCTGTGGCATGTCAAAGGAACCTCTTCCTCACTAGCTAGAATCTTCCATCCACCATCCATTGTCCCCAATCTTTCTAGGTCTCATTCACCTGTGCAATTTTAGATTTTTCTCTGTGTTCTTCTTTCCCAAACATGAAGATTAAGTCTGGTTTGGTAACTTGATACCTTGATAGGAGGACATGATTCAGGATTTAAGGTACCTGCTTGGGCTTGGGGCCCTCTGAAGACTGAGGAAGGGGCAGTTTCAGTGACTACACAACAAAGCTGCTCAATTTTATCCTGGCAAAGGCTGCCCATTTCCCTTGAAAGGTGAGAAAACAA